ATTATGTTCGCCTAGTAATTTTTCATATAAAAATGCTTAATATGCATTTCAATTAATTTAAAAATATGAATTTATTATTATTATTTAATAATTACCCGAAATACTAAATAATGAAATTCCAATGCAAGTTAATGCACTTTACGAATTTCATTTGCGCAAAACAAAAGAATCAAATTACTTTTCTTTTGCGCTTCTTCACATGGTAAGTGTGTGATCAATGTCTTTGCTTTTGGCATGTGCCAGTAACGTATATCATCATATTACCATTAACAAATAATTATTTTGTTTGTTAATATGTAGATATACTACACCCTTACCCTTTTTTTTTTTTAAAAAAAATTTTTATTTTATTTTTGAAGAAATTAAAATTTTTTTTTGTTTTGTTAATTACTTTTGTTAATATGTTCTTAATTCCTTTGGAGTACATAATATTCAGTTTACATACTCAAATAACTTTTGTATGTTAATTATATTGTTTTTGGTTTTGTATTATTGTTTTTACATTTTTAAGTTAATATATTTTTCGGTATTAATTTACAAATAGTACATATCTATATGTAATTGTATATACGTATATATTGTGTAATAATTTTTTAATACATACTTATTTATTGTTAAATATGCACAAAGCTGCAAGTTTTCATAAGATACAAGAGTATTTTTCCCTATTATGTTAATATATTATATACCAGCTAATTTGTTAATGATTGTCTCATATTGTTAACATATTTTATAAAATACTAAATTAGTATATTTTTATTGAATTATTTTGAACATAATTAGTTGTTTTGTTATTTTTATCAATGGTGTGTGAATACATATATTTAATTTTGGTCGACCTTGTTGCTTTAAAAATCTTTGCAAAGTATTATATTTTTCTTTAAACTCGAGTATTTTCATCATTATTTTTAAGCGCTACGATTTTTATATCATTCCTGTGCGTAAATGATGTGAGCTTCTCCAAAAGCGAATCTAGATTCGATGGATTATCGCTACATCTCACAGTGATGGTATTATCGTTTTTTTCTATATATTCAATATTTGACGTCATTTCATTTTTATTATATTTCTTTTTACAGGATCCTTTTATTTTTAAGCGCTACTAATTTTATATCATGCCTGTGCGTAAACGATGTGAGCTTCTCCAAAAGCGAATCTAGATTCGATGGATTATCGCTACATCTCACAGTGCTGGTATCATCGTTTTTTCGATATACTCCATTTTTTGACGTCATTTCATTTTTATTACATTTTTTATAGGATCCTTTTATTTTTATTGGTTCGAACCTTATCTTAGCAACATTTTTTTTTTTTGTTTTATTTCTGCAATTGACGTGCAATCCCATATATATAGTTGATCAGACTTTATGGATATATTGTCGCAATCGTTTTTCTATTATTCACCATTGTATTTTGTTTTTTCATGTTTCTTGTTAAAATGTTCAATTTTTTTTTTTTTTCGAGACATAATCATAATTATGTATACATATAATTACTTATAATTACTACAGTTATTACTGAAATTGTTATATATATGTGTTGTACTCTATTAAGAGTATATGCACGTTAGTTATACTATGCATTTTAATATTCTAACATTTTAAAATATATTTTAATAATTTTAATAATTTGTTTCATGTTTCTTTATTAATTTATTTTAATAATTTGTTCCATGTTTCTTTATTAATTTATTTTAATAATTTGTTTCATGTTTCTTTATTAATTTATTTTAATAATTTGTTTCATGTTTCTTTATTAATTTATTTTAATAATTATTTTTTCATGTTTCTTTATTCTTTATTATTAGCCTAAGTTTCATACATATTTTTGAATGTATTAATTTACATTCTATAAGAAAATAAAATAATTTTATATTATTTTTTTTTTTTTATATAATAATAATAAATAATAATCTACACATTTTAACATGTTCGGAATTAAATTCTTATTGATATATCAGTAATTTGTATAATTTATTAAAACACTTGGCATGGGTAGATGTCAAGGTATAATAAAGAAGTTAAAAGTTGGAAAACAATTAGACTTAACATTATAAATATTTTCTATTATTTTTCTTCTTTTCTATTTGATTAGTTTCTGTAATAATTATCATGGTTTTTGTTCTGAATTGTGCTGTCATCATAGAAGTGCAATTTCGTAATTGGTTTAAACTTTCGGTTCATCTGACGTTATGTGCACTTGAGCCATGCAGTTTTCTCTTAATATTTCGTCATTATTTTCGTTGGTGCTGTCGTCTTTGCTAATGTATCGTTGATTGACGTAGTGCATGTCTTCGTAATTCTTAAGTGTCCAGTCGCCATTATTGGAATTTCTTGGACCGCTATGCATTTTATTTTTTCTTGCTATAAAATTTGCTAGAGTTTTGGAATTTGCAACATTTGATGTCGCATACGGTTTAGTTGCTGGCATTCTAGTTGCTGTTAGCTGTATTGTTGCCGCTTCAACTATTGTGTTTTCTGCAATACATTCGCTTTTGTCAACGGGTGTTTCGGTCATCTTCAATATTGCCTTTAATCTTGGTTTTGTTGTCATTATTATTGTAGTAATTGTTGTTGTAGACATAGGAATTGTAGTATAATTTGTTCGCAACCATAACATCAAAGGTTATGCTGGACAAAAAAAATATACTTTCAAAGTAATCATCTCTAAAATCTGAATTAAGTTCTACTTAATTCTCTAATGATTTCAGGATCTTTATTGGTCTAAAGGTCTCAGGATCTTTATTGGTCTAAAGATCTCAGAATCTTTATTGGTCTTAAGATCTCAGGATCTTAATTGGCCAAGATCGCCATGTAATAAGTTTGGATAGATATAGTTATGTTTGGTTTTTCCTAGCGCAGCGAGGCGCCTTTCTTGTTCGCAACGAGGCGAATAAAACTAGGTTGCAACTAGGCAACTTGAATAAAATAATCAGCGAGACTCAATGTTCTGTTTGAATCTGAATTCTTTATTAAATTTGTACAGTATTTATGCTTATTCTAACTTAAACACTAACCTACCTGAATATTATGTTCGCCTAGTAATTTTCATATAAAAATGCTTAATATGCATTTCAATTAATTTAAAAATATGAATTTATTATTATTATTTTATAATTACCCAAAATATTAAATAATGAAATTCCAATGCAAGTTAATGCACTTTACGAATTTCATTTGCGCAAAACAAAAGAATCAAATTACTTTTCTTTTGCGCTTCTTCACATGGTAAGTGTGTGATCAATGTCTTTGCTTTTGGCATGTGCCAGTAACGTATGTCTTCATATTACCATTAACAAATAATTATTTTGTTTGTTAATATGTAGATATACTACAATATAATATATATACAAATATATTTTGCTGAAGATATTCGTCGTATAAAAAAATGAGTAGAAGATCAAGGTGTTTGCAAATTTCTCAACCCATTTTGTAAAGATACGTTTGTATACAACTTTTTAAAGGTTGGTGGACGTCTAAAACTAGCTTTACTACCTCATATGCAAAGGCATCCTGTATTACTACCCAGGAAATGTTATTTTGTCGAATGTCTCGTACGTCTCTTGCATATTACCAATTTTCACGCTGTACCTAAAGCACTAGTTGCTTTTAAACGCCTTAAATTTTGGATCATCAATGCTAGAGACATTGCGCGCCGAATTGCTAGATCGCGTGTACATTGTGTACGTTATAAACCGAAGTTACTCCAGCAAATGATGGGTAACTTGCCTGTAGAGCCAACCAAGCAATGTTTTTTGAAGTATAGGTAAGTTATCTCTAAGTTTGATTTGTCCTACGGAAAGTTTATGGAAGAATGTCTCTGTTCCTAATAATGGGTCGATACGATTTGATTTATAGGAATTTTCATCTGCAAGCTTAGTGTTTGCTGGTAAATTTCAAGAAGAAATATCAATTTGTGATTGAGGCTGGTACGAAATATGAGAAGTGATGCAAAAATCAAGTAGAATTTCGAAATCAGAAAGTTGAGGTTTTATGTTTTTTCCTTGTATTTGTGTCACCAATACTACTGATTTTTATGTTATGTCTTTCACGCGGTAATCTCAATTTTTGTGAGAATTCTTCAGATATTAAATTAATCTGTGAAGAGATGTCGAGGAGTGCTCTCCCTAACCGATAGTTACTAGTGTTATCACGAACAAGCACAATTGCTGTGGCGAGAATAATTGTATTTTGCGATGAATTTCCTAAATGCGTGTGAACAACAGCTGATGTAGTTTGCACCGTAGGTTGAGGTGCTGGCGATAACGAAAACGTACTAGATGTATTTTGAGCTCGATGAAGCATTGTATGATGAGACTGTTAACAAATCTTGCATTTGAAAGTAGATGTACACTGAGTAACTTTATGATTTTTGGATAAGCAGTTTATGCAGAGAGAAAGTCTTTTCACATTTTCGAAACGATCCGAAACGGACATATTGTTAAAGCGCTGACAACCAGTAATAATGTGATCAGTAGTGTGACATAACGGACAAGTGCGTTTAGTGAAAACAAATGAGCAATTTTGACGAGATTGATGCTTATCGATCATTTTAGAAAACTTGTTGTCATTCCTACGAATAGTGTATTGAGACCGAAGTGGCGTTTCAATCGATTCGAGAAATTGGCAGTGTCTTTCCAGAGACTTAGCGCAGCCTTCCAATAGAGGCAAAGAATGAAAATCAAGAGATTCATTCCACTTATTTTTTGATCCATCATGCTTATCGATCTTTTTAGAAAACTTCTTGTTATTCCTACGAAAAGTGTCTTGAACCTAAGCGCAGTTTTCCCATAAACGCAAAGTAATAAAGTCAAGAGATTCCTTCCACTTATTTTTTGAACCATCATCCACCTTTTGCATTACCAAGTAAATTAGTATTGCATTTGAAATTTTTTTGTCGGAGCCAATTGAACGCAACGAATCGTAGATTGCAGACACATTGTCAACCAGGCTTCTAAGTTGACGACAACTTTGCCTTGATGTATGTGGCAATTCAAATAGTCAAGCAATATTTTCCATAAAAATTAAGCTGCTATTACCATAGCGGGATTTCAATCCTTGAAGTGCCTTTGGATAATTTTCGTTACTAACTTGAAATGCCTTTACGGTATCCAATGCTTGTCCATGTAAACAGTTTAACAAATGATTGAATTGTTCAATATTTGACAATTCAACTTCTCTGTCAATGATTTGATTAAAAGACGAAATAAAATGTTTATATTCGGAGTATCTTCCACTAAACGACGGCAATTTCAATGATAGGAATCTTGTATTTGATGAGACAGGTGAAAATGTGTGAGCTCGTAACGACATAAGCAAATCCACACCTAGTTGCTCTTGAATAAATGTTTTGATGTTGACATATAGATCCTCAAGCTCGCCTCTCATATTGTCTTCAGGTTCCAATTCTTCAATTTGAGTTTGATAGCTCATTAGCTGCGTAAAGTACGATTCCAAAATGCCTAAACGGCACTTAGTTCAATAGGCGATAAAACCGTTGTGTCTGATTTTGTATTTCATTCTATGATACTCCTGATCCGAGTTATATTCTTCTTCGTGTTAGCACGTTGCTGTTTAAGTTCAGTAGCCATAACAGAATCCAATTAAATTGCCGTAGATGCAAAAATCAAAATATTGTGAACAATTGATATATTGAAAACCGAGAAAATAAAACGCAACAATAATTGCACTGAAATAAATCGAACGTAGCAGCACAGCAGCGACCAGAACCAAAAGTAACGTAACAAACGATGCACAAATTTCATAAAAATATGTAAAAACCAAAACGCAATCAAAAAAACAGCGAAGCGTCGCAATTGACAGCAGATGTAGCTGCAAGACAACGCAGCGAGAACTAAAGCGAGAAACAAAGCGTCGCAGTTGACAGCAGATGTAACAGCAAGACAGCGCAGTGAGAACTATAGTGAGAAACAAAACGTCGCAATTTACAGCAATCCACACTATCTATGCAAAACAAGATTCTGCTATACAATCAAATTTTAAAACCAGTTTGGTCATATGGCGCTGAACTATGGGGGAACGCTAGCCAAAGTAACGTCGAAATAATTCAACGTTTCCAGAACAAGGTTCTACGGAACATTTTAAAAGCGCCATGGTATATTAGGAACAGCGATATATACTGTAACGACCCTATTTTTCCCTGAAAAAAAAATGAGGGTCACATAATACCACGCTGCCCTAACGTATTTATGCAAATAATAAAAATAAGCATGAGCAAAAATTGTAAACATGCAAAAACAAAACTTATACAAAAAAAAATGCATCACAACAGCAAGCCGTAAACGGCCAAGAACAATTCTGCACAGAGAAAAAAAAAAACTTAGAAAATAATAAGCATGGGCATAAATGGTAAACAAGTAAAAACAATACTTATATGGAAAAAAATGCAAACTTGAGGATAGCGGGATCAAAAGCGTCGACAAGATCGAATAAAAGGGGATAAAAATGTGAATTCGGTCTCTTTTTTGAATATCAACCTCGAGTAGAGTGGACGTTTTTTTTATCATCCTAGAGCTGAGTGAACGTTTTTTTTCAATATCATCTTAGAGCAGAGTGAACGTTTTTTGTGAACATCATCCTAAAGCAGAGTGAACGTTTTTTTTAACATCATCTTAGAGCAGAGTGAACGTTTTTGTTTGAACATCATCCTAAAGCAGAGTGAACGTTTTTTTAACATCATCTTAGAGCAGAGTGAACGTTTTTTTTTGAACATCATCCTAAAGCAGAGTGAACGTTTTTTTTAATATCAGTTGCGGATAATAGTTGCTGGACCATTGCGCGCCCAGGATACCGATCTGGGAGCTTTAAAAGTTGCCAGATAGAGAAATCTCATAGGAGGCTTCAGAAGTACCCTATGGGAAATCTCAGTGAAGGTATGAACTGGCACGTGGCTTTGGCAGACACCAGAAGAAGCGAGGTACTGAAGAACTGAGCAGCCGAGAAAACGATAAGATAAAGTAAATTTTAAATACTTTATATATTTGCGTCTTCGATCTGTGCTTTGACTAAATTAGATTTTAAATACTTTATATATCTGCGTCTTCGACATGTGCGTTGAATAATGATAAATACGTTAATACTTTATATTCCTGCGTCTCCGACTTGTGGTTCGAACAAATGCTACATACGCTGAGAAATCGTAGTTATATTCCTGCGTCTCCGATCTGTGCTTTGACTAAATTAAATTTTAAATACTTATATATCTGCGTCTTCGACATGTGCGTTGAATAATGATAAGTACGTTAATACTTTATATTCATGCGTCTCCGACTTGTGGTTCGAACAAATGCAAAATACGCTGAGAAATCGTAGTTATATTCCTGCGTCTTCGATCTGTGCTTTGACTAAATTAAATTTTAAATGCTTTATATATTTGCGTCTTCGACATGTGCGTTGAATAATTATAAATACGTTAATACTGTAAATTCCTGCGACTCCGACTTGTGGTTCGAACAAATGCAAAATACGCTGAGAAATCGTAGTTATATTCCTGCGTCTTCGATCTGTGCTTTGACTAAATTAAATTTTAAATGCTTTATATATTTGCGTCTTCGACATGTGCGTTGAATAATTATAAATACGTTAATACTGTATATTCCTGCGTCTCCGACTTGTGGTTCGAACAAATGCAAAATACGCTGAGAAATCGTAGTTATATTCCTGCGTCTTCGATCTGTGCTTTGACTAAATTAAATTTTAAATGCTTTATATATTTGCGTCTTCGACATGTGCGTTGAATAATTATAAATACGTTAATACTGTATATTCCTGCGTCTCCGACTTGTGGTGCGAACAAATGCAAAATACGCTGAGAAATCGTAGTTATATTCCTGCGTCTTCGATCTGTGCTTTGACAAAATTAAACTTTAAATGCTTTATATATTTGCGTCTTCGACATGTGCGTTGAATAAGTATAAATACGTTAATACTGTATATTCCTGCGTCTCCGGCTTGTGGTGCGAACAAATGCAAAATACGCTGAGAAATCGTAGTTATATTCCTGCGTCTTCGATCTGTGCTTTGACTAAATTAAATTTTAAATACTTTATATATCTGCGTCTTCGACATGTGCGATGAATAATGATAAATACGTTAATACTTTATATTCCTGCGTCTCCGACTTGTGGTTCGAACAAATGCAACATACGCTGAGAAATCGTAGTTATATTCCTGCGTCTCCGATTTGTGGTTCGAACAAATGCAAAATACGCTGAGGAATCGTAGTTACATTCCTGCGTCTTCGATCTGTGCTTTGACAAAATTAAACTTTAAATGCTTTATATATTTGCGTCTTCGACATGTGCGTTGAATAATTATAAATACGTTAATACTGTATATTCCTGCGTCTCCGACTTGTGGTTCGAACAAATGCAAAATACGCTGAGAAATCGTAGTTATATTCCTGCGTCTTCGATCTGTGCTTTGACTAAATTAAATTTTAAATGCTTTATATATTTGCGTCTTCGACATGTGCGTTGAATAATTATAAATACGTTAATACTGTATATTCCTGCGTCTCCGACTTGTGGTGCGAACAAATGCAAAATACGCTGAGAAATCGTAGTTATATTCCTGCGTCTTCGATCTGTGCTTTGACTAAATTAAATTTTAAATGCTTCATATATTTGCGTCTTCGACCTATGTGCGGAATAATTATAAACGCGTTAATACTTTATATCCCGGCGCCTTCGGAAATTGTTAAGATTTTTTTTATGAATTATATTGCTCAAGATAAAATCTCTACATGATAATATAATAAAGTTTATTGTAAACTCTATTGTATTGAAATAATATCTAGACTTGTATATATAAACTCTATTTTTTTTTATTTATGAAGATTGTTAAGATATTTTTTAAGAATTATATTGCTCAAGATAAAATCTCTTTATATGATCATAAAATAAAGTTTATTGTAACCTCTATTGTATTGAAATAATATCTAGACTTGTATATATAAACTCTATTTTTTTATTTATGAAAATTGTTAAGATATTTTTGTTAAGAATTATATTGCTCAAGATAAAATCTCTATATCGTAATAAAAATAAAATTTATTGTAAACTCTAGTATACTGGAATAATATATGTAATACCAATAAAGAAGAAGTAGATATAAAAGTACTGTGGTTTTGAATAAAACAGAGGCTAGGGACGGGTGAATCAGACGAAATTACGCGGGGAATCGGAGTCGAGTCCAAAAATATAAATGGTCTTGTAAGTACCCTGGACACCGTTGAACTATCCTAGCTATAGACTGCCCCACGTAAAGGGGTTCATTACAAGTGGCGCCCGAGCAGGGACACTCGACTTAAGAACACGATTCGAGAGCTGATCTACGGTATAGCAACTAGTGCACCTGACCGAGCTGTGATTCTAGACATTAGATTAGAGGATACGATATAAGTGGCGGGATACATTGGGTCAATCAAATTAACCGTTCGGTACAGAGTAGCACATTAGCAACATGAAACGTACATGGATAAGGAATGTGCGGAAAGAGGACTTAATTACATATTTGGAGGAATTTGGCTTGGAGGTAACGGGGACCGTCGAAGACTTACGTCGTCGTCTGTCTAATTATGTGGCCCACACAGATCATAAACCAGATGAGCACATAAGGTTGAGTGAGATGGAGGCTAAACATAGTAAAACATCTACTGAAGAGTTAAATACGGACAGCGGAGGCCAGGAACCTGTGGGACAAATGTGTGGCCCCCAACTAGAAATACCTACGAAGCCAAGGACTCCAGTGGAATCGCCTCTGGCAGAACCACCAATGCGGGATGCACTTACTCTCTCAGTCCTGTATACGCCGTATAGGAATACGCAGGCAGCAGTCATTGACCAGGTTAGGAAATGGTCGGTCCGGTTTGACGACAATCAAGATCCGCTAGCATTCGTGGAACGAGTCGAGGAATTAGCGGAAGTATACGATATCCCAAAAGATATGCTGGCTAGAAGTATGCCCGAACTATTAAAAGGACAGGCTCTGGAGTGGTTTCGTCATAATAAGAAAGAGTGGAGGTACTGGCACTTGTTCAAACATGACTTTTTAAGCTTCTTCCTACCGCACCGATATTTCGAACGTTTAGAAGATGATTTGCGAGCCCGGTTGCATCGAGCGGGTGAACCATTTCGAAGGTATGTTCTTCAAATGCAAAAACTAATGCGACACTTGAGGATGACTGAGCAGGAGAAATTGGAACGACTATATCGTAACTGTGGAACTGAGTATCAGAGATATATGAAACGACGAGACTTTAGTTCATTAAACGAACTCATCACGCTTGCAAACGATTATGAGAACATTAACAACGAGGAGCGCGAAAGAGAAGAAGGACGAGCAAGGATCTCAAGGCGGGGTAACATATCTCTTGAAGGTGCCAACACTGAAGAAAGGGTAGGAGGATAAAA